TCACACGGACAGAGCTGAAATGGAAAACAAACAGAAAAGCGTACACACCACAAGCATACTCACAGCACAATCTCACACATCAATGACGACCTGCGCCTTCCAGTTAAAGGCATCCTCTTGCAACACAATCGTCACTTGCTGGAATGGCTCTTGCAGAATGCGACGTGACCATAGCACCACCTCACGATACTCTACGCACATCGTCTTATCTAGTCACTACCAATTACCACTGAAATCGCTTGTCACTCATTCTGCCTCAGTTCTAGTAACGGTGACGTGCGCATGCCTCAGTCGTTTACACTCATTCTCCCCGGCGTGTCGGACCGCAGCTAACAATTATCTCCGTATGCATTTCATTCTCAGCAATAGCCTAGCCTCCCGGCGTATACGACCCATCTGCTGTCTCTAACATCAATCAATTCATTCACGGATGTAGAAGACTAGAAACAACTTCAGAAGTAATCACGACGAAAATTTTAACAAAAGTACGCAATTATTACAAGGTACGAAAACAACGAGTAAACACAACGAATCCAAAAAGCACCAATTGATATGACACACCACACATATATACAAACAGTACACACAACCTCGCGGATCATGTCTTGATGGAATTCCTTGGAAGAATCCCAGGACTTACACCAGTACGCCTACAACCCTTCTCACGTTGACGATTGTAAGTTGTGGAATGTCCGGACACAATCAAGATTAACCAACAATTACAATAATCGGAACTCACACAACTATTTAACACAAACATATGTACAATCAACACATCAATGTTATGGATTCTGGCACGACAAACTACCCTTGAAGAACTGTAGGACTTACAGCAGTACGCCTTCATTCCTTCTCAGGTTGATGACCCAAGTGGAAGTCGTTCGGATACAAAGAGAATTACCAACAGCTAGATGACAGATGATATCAACTGAGTATATACAATATGAACTTATGTACAAAATCACACACGAAGCACATTGGACTGCTCATTGATGCGCTACCCTTTGGAGAATTGTAGGACTTACAGCAGTACGCCTACAACCGTTCTCAGGTTGACGCCCTAGGTTGGAAAATCGTCACAGAGTTCATTTGCTGACTTCCTTCTATCAGCTATATCCTCAAATCTGAACGGTAACACGCTCATGTCATTGTATCGTAGAATATAGATGACTAACAACACACGACATATCTGACCAACCAAGTGTAGAAACAGAATAATTTGCACCAAAAATAATAGCATTCAATCAGTAACTTGAAACTAGAAATGCCTTTATTCATGCAAGTCAATTTAACAATTGCTCCCTCGTTTAAAACTGGCTTATCCTCACTATATTGGGCGATATTTTTCGTCTTTTCAAATGCACCAATACTATCAAAATCATTGCACAAGATACTTGAGTTGATGGGCGTCTGTTTCATTGTGGATGACAACACCAACGACGACTGATTGATACCAGTTGATGAACTAAGCGGTGGATCAAAAGCTGTTGTTGCTCGACTTTCAGAAATTTGTCTACCTGCAAGACCACCACCGCTGTCTTTCACTACTAGTTGGGTTAAGCAATAGCATCTGATGATAGGTGGGCTTCACTCCGATCAATTACACTGACGGTTTGACAAGCATGCATGCCTTCTGCAACTGCATCTGCATTTATTTTTATTTCACGTTCAAGTTGTACAGAACCTGTATTCAACTCAGCGATAGTAGGCATTCTCCCCATTTCATCATGATCAACCAAAGACAAATGTGAAGTATCATGATCATTATCACGAATATTCAATTTACCATCATCTATCTGGTCGACTTCATTAATTTCAAACTCTTTAATAGCAGAAGTAGACAATTTTGGTTCCTTCTCACAAATCTCCATAGATTTTATACCTCCACTCTGACGAGAAATACCTTGTAAACTTGTGGAGTCAGAATTGTACTCTGAAGCAATAACTCTATGCTGTGACACTCTATTCAAGAATGGCTTACCAGTTGCAACTACAGACTTCTTCACCGCACCGTTATCGTCACACAATTCGGAGTCACATCTTGATTTCACATTTAGCTTATCACTAAACTTGCTCACTGATTCACAGCTCACCCTTGTATGCACTTTTTGCAAACGTGTAAAACACAACCGTGTTTGTCTTGCATCTTGTAACTCATCTGTTGAGGATGTACTACGAAACCTGTTACACTCAATAGGTCTATATGCATTACTAGACATCATGGAGCCTTCTGGATATCCACCTCTCTGAGGCCCTTTCGTCATCAATGATTGCATTTTGCTTTCAGACTGCTCTATTCTAGGGGTGAGATTCAATATACTGGCAAACTTGCTCATAGATTGATTGACACTATCTTTTACCAGTTTCAGGATATCATCAAACTTTGGCTCGATACCCTCATCCTCCATACGGGAGCTTATCTTCACCCACTTCCTTTGCAGTCGAGTAGGTAGGCGTCTTGCTATTACTTCTAGCATAAAACTCGAGTTGAGGTCACTCATGCAATTCATCGAAATCAATGCATTCTTGTAAATCATCAAATTATGCGAAAACTCAGTAAGTGCCTTGGAGTCATCTTGAAGTTGACTGCCGTTACCTTTGACAGCTTCGTATACGTTCATTACAATCATCGAAGGTCTTCCAAACCTTTGACGTAGTATGCTCATAGGCTCGTAGTAGCCCTCTTTTGGCTTCATAAACTTACAGCACTGTATAGCTCTTGAAGCATCTCCAGTGCAATACCTCATCACATACATCAATCTCAATTTATCACCTAATAGAAAACTACTCAACATAATCTCAAACTCATTTACAAATTGTAAATAATCAGCTGGGTTTCCGTCGAAACACCGTGGTTCGAATTTAGGGAGTTTGATGTTCCTATTATCCCTGAACGGCGAAACAGTAACATCAACCATGTCATGCTTAACATCAGACACATCGTTACAAGTAACAGACAAGTCAACATGACTTACTTTCCTGTTTGCATCCAAGACGCTCTGTCCCTTCTTTGACCCAGGCATTGTTGAACTTGACGCAAATCCAAAACAGTTCGAGATATTGCCTGTTCAAAGAGGACTTGACAGGCACCAGGAAAGATGAACGGTGACTATCCAAACTGTCACCGACAGTCTGTATCCGCCAGAATCTGTTTCCACCGTCAGAAACTGTCAGCCACGTCTCGTAAACCGTCAATGCCCAGCTCTGGCTGCACTCGGACTCACGCTGTTCCTTGAAGTTTCTCAGAAACGCTTAGTAATAACGGACGCAAAAATCAAAACACCAATCGGCGACTCGAGGATTCTTTATTGTAACACCAACATATAAACAGTGTTACAACTAAGGTCTGTGAACAAATATTACAATAGTAAATCACAATATTACTTCTGACGGTTTGCTACTGACTTCTTTCTGAACAGCGACCGATGAGACGATGACTGTCCTATTGATGTCTTCGCGAAAATTGGGGAAGTTGGTTTTGAACAGACAACCGTGAATTGATCGTTCAATCTTCAACTTTATTGACGCCTAATGATTTCCTTTGAGACAGTGGGAATTATAGACTAATTATAATGAATAAGGCAGACGTTTTTATAGTGTACTTGAAGTCCCAAACTACCAACAAAGTTACTTACCTATAGAAATCTACGTTTGCAATGTTACATTTCGTTATTACACTACAAACGTATGTCCAAAGGCCATTTTCCCCTTAACACTGGTGAATAGTCGTATTATGGGCAATCGGATTAAACGTAACTGAAGCATTTCACACAAGGTTTGATGACGCATTGAGGAAATAATAACAGTTTACGATTGGCGCATTTCCCATAAGTATTATTACAGCAGCTACCATTCTTGTTAACTATGCAATATCTTTGAAATTATATGTAAAACAGACAAAAACATTCGACATGAAAGCATATATTTGCAACGAAACAATAATCAATCAATTTAAAAATAATTTAGTATGCAGAAGGACATATTTACATTTAAAATGTTTGTAATAATCCAGTGAAAAAATCAGTTGTAGATTTTTAGATTTGCTTTATGGTCATCATAAAATCTACTAGTAACTCTATGCATAATGTATGAATCAGCTCGCCTCAGTTGGTAGAGGTGTTGGACCTGTCTTCGCAGTTTTCGTCATCGCCAGATCTGTTCGGAGAAACTGGATGTTAACTTTTCAAGCAGAGAGTGAGATTGTAATCTTTCGGATACCTCCGGCAGTACTGATAAATATCTGAGGACTTATACATATCGGGTGTATTGGTGTTACCTCTGTTGAACAATTCCTTAATTCCCAAATATGTGAACAAAGGAGGGAACAATAACAGAGTTGGTGAAATTATATGTGTTTGTCCACATGTTTCACGATGGATTTCAACAACTTCAGAGCTTAAGAAACATCTATCACACTTTCTCTTCTATGGAAGGCAAATATTACGCGAATGACTCTCTTTCGCACCCGTTACGACCAAATGAAAGGGACTAAATCTTCAAACATTAAACTTCTTTATAAGTTTCCAGACCGTGGATGTTACGAACTCTCTGGAAGAACTTGAGAACCAAGTCATATTAATTCATTAGAAATTATTCAAATTAATCCCTGAGCGTTTAAGAAAAAATCAAAACAAGATTTTTCCGAAATCTTCTCCTTGCAAGCCACGGCTTCATCAGCAAGTTATCAGGATTTTATTAATCATCAAAATATATAGTCAAAATTTTTGCATAAATCGAAGTCAGTTATTTGGAGGTTACTTGTTGATTGACGTTTGTACCAATAGAAATATGATTAAGTTACCCAATAATATATTTTTTTGTAAGTGAATTCAATGCAAATCACCTCCGTAAAGTTTATGCATATATTCATTTGTCCCTGGGAGGTGAAAATATGACGCCCATCTGATTAATTAAATATTTTAAAGCCCGTCCCATTAACGTGCACTACGTATTAGCCGCAACGTTTATGCGAAGGAAAATCTACCAATCACAATATGTGTAATTGACCTTCAAGTGCGCAGCCTCTCCACTAGCTATTTGCGGCGTTATCCTCTGTATTCGTTAGATGTCATTGGTTTCTGTGATATGAAGACTTTAGGGGTATTAATCGTAATGGGAGTATTTTTCGTTGACTCACTCAACAGTAGTTGTTGTTTCCGAATCATCATGTTTAATAGTATCACGATCAAGTGAATTTATCCCCACTGACGAGTGGAAAGAAATTTTACCTGGCCAGATAATTCCTCCTGGTCTGCATGTGCGTCAAAACTTGCAAACTGGATTTACCGAGGCGAGACTTATGAATAATAAGTCAAATGAGTCTTATGTTAATACAAGTAAGGACTGATGTTAATGATGTTAACTGACAGACAATAATATTACTGGTATCGCCCTTCTATCGCAGTCCACACAGAATCGTGCAGGTGACACTAGTGGTCATCACTCTGTGAAAAACAGACAGCGTTTTCGTTCCTATGAGGAACTTAGGACAGATTTTCAGAAAATGAATGTGGGTGTGAGGACAGATGCAGAGATTATTAACGAAATATGTTTGGAATTAGAGGATGGTAATGTTACAAACGAAAGACTGGAAGTACTTTTAGAGGATTTGTCTTACTATCTACACCAGGTATGTTAATAACTTTTAAAACTTATAAGTAGATTGATAATGCTAAGATTTTCGCAAACAATGGAAACTTTCCACTAATACTAAAACTTCTCCTACATCCCGACCATAGAGTTAAGAAGAAGGCTTTACAGGCCATTGGGGCAGCTATCCAAGGGTTTGTTTGAGAAATATGACTTTTATTACCATTATTTTGTATATTCTTCATTGTGAACTTTGTTGCAGAACATTCATTTGCCTTCATCTAGCTAACATATGCCAACCTTCTACAATCACGCAATCGTCAGTGTGCGGGATCTGTAGAACTTATATTACTAATTGTATTAACTATGCTTTTTATTGTTGCGTACCACCGTTGCTTCACACTTAATTGTTTATCCCTGTTTAAGTAAATACTAAAATACCAGGGATGTTTCAATGGAATTCGAATGACAAAATTTTCAGGTTGGGCCATCTAAGCAGTGATTATTTTTTGATAAAGAGTAAATTGAACCAATAATTGGTTACATTAATCATTCAGTGGTTGTTCTTAATCTAATCGCGAGTGGATGACAAACCCCCGTCTGTAATAAGCAAGAATAGGTGCCCATTGATGCAAAGTGATATTTTAAGAAGTGAATTCAAAGATATGTAAGATTAGAACCCGTAAGACAAGCTAACCTGTAAGATGTCTCACGAATTTCTGTAGGGCCCATAGGGTAGTATTGATGTTTTGGCGTCATTCTGAACTTTGAAAGATGGTTGAAATTATAACCCTAGGTCTGCAGTTACACAGTATAGGGGCTGATAGGGCGGATAAAGTCCGTCATTATAGGTAGGATGATGTCTAACGTCCTTACAGGAAGGAATTATCACAACATGCACAGTTCTATGAGGTTGACGAGACATAAAAATTTAAGGGATAGATTATTTCAAACAAGCGATTAGTGGACATTATAGCTCAGTCCCATAGTTCAGAAAGCCTTCTGTAAAAAAGTGGTTCTCATTAGCGGTAATCACCGGTGTCCGACATCATAAGCCTGGCACCTTTAAGACTCATTCGTTTCGGGCGTATTCTTTATGGAACATTGGCTGACTACATGTATGAAAGAGGTAAAAGAAACAGATGAAGAATCAGTAAGAGTGAATAATAAGATAGAAGTAGTCCATACGACGTTTCATGCTTGTCTCTACTTCTAATCAAGACGTTACCGAACAAAAGGCTATATATGTAATCAATTGATCATTCTATAATAAGTATTCATAAATTGACAAGGCCCCAGCCCTCTTCAATAGCTTCATACCAAGAAAAGGAATGTCAGACTCATTCTCCATTATAAGCGTGAATGTTTTGCTGTATGATAGCTATGAAATGGAGACATTTGGTGATATGGCTCAAAGTCGTTCTCCTTGTGAATTATAATACCCAATAAACTATACTGTTCTTCGATGTTACTATATTCTTTTTGCCTCATATCTCTGTTTACTGTCTGTATTTTGCCTTTTTTACTTTCTTCTGTGGCTTTGTGGGCTGAGTGAAGTGTAGCGACTCGAACTGATGCACATTGGTGCAGAGTTCTATGTTGAAACAAGTCAGTCATGAAATCTATAAATATATGTGATCCAAGTCAGAGTTATCATCACAAGTGATAAGTGTTATTTACATACATTTCATACAATTAAAAATCCCAGATTGACTCCAACTGACTATTTGCTAGACTGATCGTAAAACAGTGCTAGAAATAGACCTAGAGGAGAATTCGTGGTAATTTCACCTTTCTCTCTCTTCGTTTTCTATTTCCATGTTTCATTTCTTCCTCTTAGAATATCTCACTCTACAATCCAAATTTTTCATTGCTGAGTTATGCTCAACGCTCTTAACAATATCATACATTCCATGTTGGAACATAATATTGCTTTGCTATTGTTAGGTTTCACTGTGATTTTAACTCGTAGACTACGTAATTAGTTTTAAATGTCTTCAATTTAAATCGAGACCAAAATGTTAAGATATCTACGAATATATATATATATATATATATATATATATATGCACGACTACAGTTACGTTAAATTACCGAAATTATACTTTCTAGTGAATAGAAATAAGCAATGTCGTCTTCTATAAACACCAGTAGGTAGGAAAGAACAAAAGTGTTTTGTTCATTTCTTCAGAGGAAACCAATCTCAAAAAAATATCAATTCTTTCTCATATACTAGGTCTAAGATAAATGGAGACATCTTTACCTATTCACTCTTATCTTTCCTGTGTTATTACTGTCCTTTTATACGGATATTCTCCTTTATACCACTTATTTAAGTGTTCGTTGAGGCTTTTTGGCTTCTACTTCACATGTGGTGGAAACACTTGAGAAGCAGTAAATAGGATCGATCTAAATAGTTTTTCTTTTGGCGGTAGAATTAATCAAAGAGGAGTGTGTAGCTAGTCCATAATGCTTCTTTAAACTTTTTTATTCGTCTTCTTATTAGGAACTCTGAGGTTAAAGCGATTGCACTTCGAGAAGGTATACTGGAAAAACTTCATTACATTTTAAAGGCAAACTTGGATGAACAGAACTATACAAAATCTTCAGAAATATTGCTTGGCGGAATACTGACACTAGGCGCTTTGTTGCGCCATTTTCCTTTGTCCCAGAAACAGTTCTTTTTTACTGTACAGTTCCAACCAACTGGTTATGAATTGCTTTCCCAAATTGCCAGTCTTGATGCTCCAGATAATGAGGCCATTTCTCGGAAATTATGCGTTCGAGTTATTACACTCTTGACAGACCTGTACAGTGAGCGAGTGAGTTCATTTCTTGAGCTTCTCTTTCCAGATTTCTCTGTAATACTTCTTCGAAAACGATTATGTACCTCAGAATATATGACCACCTCATATGAACATAACATGTCAGTTTGAGACTTTGTAATTCTCCCCGTGCATCTGATTGTTATTACAGCTCGATTTCAAGAAAAGCAGCAAAGTTATTGCTAATGAAGGCTCTTACTTTGATTTTAACGTAAGATGCTCTAGTTTGATATTTAGAGTTCGTTGGTAACGTAATTTCGATATTTACCCTGTCAACTGTCCAACACTGTCAGTTCAGTTGTAAAGTGAGTCTCTCTGTATACAAATGCTTAAACAGTTGTAAACGTGGGGTTGGGAAGGGAAATAAGCACTGTGCGTCGGTGACACAGTGGTTAGAACTCTCGCCGACCATGCACATGGTCCGGGGTTCGAGCCCATGCTGACGCACACCTGAAATCGATGGTCGGCCTGTGAAATTTGGGCTGCTGATATCCACGCTGAAAATTCCATACGTGTACCAAAAATACGGTGTGGAATCAAGCTGTAATCAAAAAATAAAAAAAAATCGCCAGATAAAATAATAAAACAGTATAAAGAAAATAACGAAGGAGCCGGCATCTCAGATTATAGCAGCAACCCTGTATGCCTTTGCGTCATCATTAGCTGATTTTATTGTGATATAGTATAGCACAGCTCACTCGGTCGAAATGATTACTCAGTCATTTATGGATCGTATCTTTGATTGCAGTTGGTTGATATGTAGAGCAGCAACAGCCAGTCTTCCTCACTATACACAGTAGTCAGTCAGTCGCGAAATCAAATAACTGTTCGAGATACGATTCATTTTGTTAGTTTTGCATACGTTGTGATTACCTCCAATGGATTTATGATGGACATTGTAATGCGATACCCCCGCTCACCCCCTTCTTAAAACAAGAATTATAACAAGACCTACATAAAAAACAATTAACAATAAGCATATTCTCTCATTTTCATAGTTAAAGCCATATGTCTGAATTATTGAGATAAACTCCGCTGCATTATTGGTAACATCGCGTACAACCTGTATCCACTGCAAAGTGAATAGGTCTATTTGATTAAAATTAACTATTTTTTTTATTCCAATTTTAGTTTCACCTTCATTTTTATTTTTAGCTGACTGCTCAAAGCGTTTCTAAAGAAAATCCTACAAAAGCAAATGTAGATACTTGGAATATTTATGCCGGGTGAGTTAAAATAAAAAAAATTCTTCATACAATTACTTCCTTTGATAAATTTGAACAAAAGAATGTGTTGTTATTGCTTCGTTCATAAAAATACTCATTTACTCAATAAAAAATAACATATTCTGACAGTTGACCGACTGATTTGTCTATGTGAGACTAAACGCAAAAGCGCAGCAGTCCAAATCGAATACTTAAGAAAAGCAAATATAAAAGTAAAAAAGGGAATAGATATAAGTTTATCGAAAGTGTATGTGGAAAAAAATTTTGAGATGTTTATTACTGAGGATTTCCAGAATCTGAAGGGTGATTAGGGGGTAGAAAATGCAAACCATCGGGGCGATTTCGAGTCATTTTACTAACTGGCCCAAACTATTGATTCTGAGAATCCCAATCATCGCATCCTCCCATGTGGCTTAAACCAACAGTGGAAACCGTCACCCATTAGTGCTGTATTTTGGTCCAAATACTCTTATTCCTCCTTCAGTTTACATCGCTTGTTGAAAAAGCGGTGAATCGTCATACGTTAGCAGATGACAAAGCCAGATCAGTTGATACAGCTTCACAATGTAGTAGATTAATCTGCTATCCTGGCACTTTTCCTATTCATTGAAAGCAGACACTGGTGATTAAAATACTTGCATATCCTACACTTTTAGTAACTGTTTCACGTATATAAAGTACATACGTATTTTGATACACAAGTAGACATCGCGCTTCCACCAAATATATGTTGGCAGATTCCAAAATTTAAGCCATTTAGGCAGATGAAGGCTTTCTGATTGGGGCCCTCGGGATGGTAAAAACCAGTGGCTGGAGACAATCGATGATATGGCTCAAAATCGTTCTCGAAGATGGCAGAGATGCATTCACCTTTTGTGATTTGTCATATCCAGTAAAATTCTCTTGTTCTTGCATATTAGGATTCCTTTTCCCTCACATTTCTGTTTATTATCTCTCTCTATTTTGAATCTCTACTCTCTTCTCTTGCTTTGTGTGCCACATGGAGTGTGGCAACTTGAACTGCTGCACATTTGTACAGTACTATGTTGAAACCAGTTAGACTCCAGAAGTGGAAATGTGGCTCATTAGCTTAGTGTTATAACGGAGTGTTACTGATTTGTGGTTGTGTAATTCGACTTAAATACGCCTCTAGATATGACACTATAAAGAAATGATCTCTTGGAAACATTCTTTCCAATGAGATGGACACAAAAGTCAAGTTAAACTGCTACAAGTGATAACGTTTCTATTATCCAAAATGTAGGCTATATATTGTCGTCACATCCACGGAAATTTAAATCACAAATAAAAATCTATATCTGACTGCTCAACCTTGAAGATCCTCCGGAAATCAGTCAACTAACACCTGTCCGATGAGGTTACACTGTAATGCTTATTATCTTTCCTTACTCGCGAAAATGCAGCATCACTTTTAAAGGAAATTCACACCTCCAGTCTGTGTGATAGTTGATGACTTTGAATCACAATGTAAAGATTGGTGGCCACTGGATGAAGAGAAGGAAGGCGAAATGAAACACGTCCACACAAGATGTATAAAGCAGTGAACTTGAACTGAGTAACGTGGTAATGAAATTCCCTTGTGATGTAAAGTGTTACTACTAAGCAGCCGTAAATAAACAATTAACTGATGTCGGGTGTAAAAATTGCAGTTGTGTAATGTTTGAAGGCTGACAAAAGCTGGCTGTTCAAATCTCTTACGTCAACTGTCTCATGACATTCCGTCAGAGGTTATACGAATTACAGAGAAATTTTGCACTGATGAATTAATAAGGAAGATAATGGACATGCTCTTTTTCCGATTATAAATGATATCAAAAGGTCCAGTGTTTTTGAAGATTCAAATCTTCATAGTGCGTAGCACGTTACGAAGTGATAAATGATTAGTTGCAAATAAAAACTAAGATTAGTGTGAAATCGCACAAGTGTAGAATCATCTGTATGATGCGTGTGTCATGTTTCTAAAACTTCTGTTGTTTAAGCGTTTATAAATTTCCGCTCTTAATAGTATAACTGTGAATTATCACCACGACAGGTTATTTGATATTGGTCACACTGTTCCTGGAGTATTATTGGTAATATTTTTCATCTCTACACTGAGAATTGTTTTGTTCATGATCATATAGTAACTTGAAACAACTATTTATTTTCCATTTTTTTTGACTGTTGACAGCATTCCATTTGAGGAAGGGTTCGTATCTTCGGGATTTTGCGGGAGATTACGCTTTTCACTACAAAGAGATATCCAAGGAAGCACATTGATGGGAGGGTTAAGCACTTCGGTGAATCATGATTTGCGTGAGAAAGTTGTCACAGCGTGCCTGAAATTTGCCAATCTATGCGACTGGGCTTCACTTGGTTCCACGGAAAAACATCATATTCGCACACAACTTGACTTATTAATCGGCGAGTACGAACTTCTTTCGAAAGATGAAGTTAATGAAAACGATTCCTATTTTACTGATATGCTACAAAAATGTCAAAAGTTAAAAAGCACATTGCAATATGAAAGTGATTTTCAAAAAACTGATCTTTAAAATTATGAGGATTTATTATTCTACTTCTGTATTTAGAAAAAAACATTTGTAAATCTTGTAAAAATTTACTTCAATAATTCATTTTTAGCGGATTTTATTGTCACTAAAAAGAATTTGGTCTATTTAACGCCTCTACGTTTGACAGTGTCTTACAGGAAAAACGCTGAAGATCAAATTCACTAAATGTACTGCTTTCATTTCATCCGGTTGGTCATTCACTAAAAATGGAGTACGAATTTTGTAAACAGCTGCACCGTTCAACAAAACATGTATACGGATTGCATACTGATTAAACACAGCCAAGTAGTTAAGATTTCAAACATGGGTAGGCATCTAGTATTTAAATAAAAGTAGTGGGAGAAATATTCATGTGGTTTTCACAACCAATAGCTGTTTCCTTGACGTGATGGTCGGGCTTGCAAATCTCAACGACCCAACAAGCTACACTGGCTAGAACTAATGTTCCTTCAGGTCCTACGGCGCCAGGAAGATCGTTAGGGTAGTCACCGGCATAGTGTAAGATGTTTTTAAACTATCGCAGGGATCTGTGAGCAAAGTCGTACTGCTGCCGAACAGGGATTTAACAGTAGTAAAGTGTTTCCTGCAGATGGCCAGTATGCCATTTATGCTATCTCTCCACTCTGAAGAGAGGGGTTAGAAAAGGTCGACCCCAAATAGTGTGCACCCCGACTTGCCCTACGGTGGTCCGCAGCCGGTGGTAAGTCACTAATGCGGAACCAAACCTAAAAGCCAGTTTAAACAGGCCTGGTCCCCGCGGTTACGCAATATTAGTTCTGTTTCAGGTACCCCAAGAATAAATCAACTTCCATGGTGTTCGGAGTAGGGAAGTAGCAACCGCCCACACATTTCCAAAAACACAGCCCTCCTGATCATCGTTCTCCTTTTTCCACGTCACCCTCATCATCTTGCTTCCCTACTGCTGTTAATACTATTCTTCAGGCTAGTCAGTCATCTTCATTTCATTCTGTAACCATAAATAGCGATGAGGGCCAGAAAAACACTCCCGATATCCCCTGTAAACCTCGCCGCCAACTTCATATTGGCGCATTTAATTCTCACGACCCTCTGCTTAATCGTACAACAGGCATCACTAACCAAAACTCTGACATCTCGAGCTATGGATATATGTTGTGTTTCGGAGACACGAACCCCACCCGGTCAACAAGGGGAATTCGCAAAATCCACCTTACGGATGTCAAGAAATTCTGTAGCTAGTTCGCGAGGACTCGCAGGTGTAGGGATAGCATTGAGTGGTAGGGCAGAAAAATCAATTCTTGACTGCATCACAGTAGATACTCGCATGTGTGTGGTCCATCTGAACGGGAGTAAGGACGCTGTTAGCCGCCGCTCTCTTGTCATAGTTTCCGCTTACACCCCAACCAAATGCAGTTCAGATGAATTGAAGAATGATTTCTACCAGGAACTCTGGTCTGCTGCAAAAAACAGAACGTTTAGACGTAGTTGTTTTAGCAGGTAATTTCAGTGCCCAAGTAGGGAAGTTGTGCCAAACTGAGAATTATAGGCTGAGTATGGAATTCGCTGTCGACGAACCGATAACGGTGATCACCTGCAGTTCTGTCCAGATAATCATCTGTTCCTGGTCAGCACTAACTTTAGGCACAAAGGGAGAGATTGGGTAATCTGGCGCCATCCATCACTACATCAACGTTGGACTTAGATAAACCACATAGCGATAGGGTATCGTTGGCGAGGGTCAGTAGAGGACTGCCGCTCCTTCTCGAACACATGCGTAGACTCCGATCACTCCCTGGTTTGCGCAAGTCTATGTTTATGATTAAATGGACGTAAGAAACTGTTGGCAGCGAAGCAGTCACGTTCTCAACTAGATCGAAACTCTGAGTCGCTACTTAAGGAAGAAACAGACAAACGAGTATCTGAGGTTGACAGCTGGACTCCTCTTGAGGTAGCCTGGCACAATATACAATTAGCTGTAGACACAGCTGTAAAAGCTATTGACAACCTGAAACCTAAAGTTAGCAAGAGCCATTGGATTTCTACCGCCTCATCCGAACTGCTGACTGACTCAAGAAGACTGATTTCGGCGAGCTCCGATTGTAATGAGGAGCGAAAGCTAATTGAACGCAAAATAACAAGAAGTCTCCGCAACGACCATGAACAGTGGTGGGTGATAAAAAGTGAAAGAGATGGAAAAGGCATCGGCGATCGCCAACACCAGACACATATTTAGGCTTATCAGGGAAACAGGTGGTAAAAGGCAAATGATAAGTGAAACAATCTCTGACAAAAATGGCAGCATAATTAGCTCCCTGAATAGACGACTAGAAGGTTGGAAAGAACACTGAGGAGTAATTCAATTGGCCTACAGCTACGCTCAACTTACTGAACATCCAATACCTTCCCGAATGGGATATAGACACAGGCCCTTCGTCCCTAACTGAGGTTACTAAAGCTGTCACCAATCTGAAACTAGGCAAAGCAGCAGGATCTGATGGAATCACTCCAGAGGTATTTAAGTACGGTGGAGACAGTTTACTGTCTGCATCAACTGAGGTATTAGGCAGCGTCTGGGAATCAGAGGAAGTCCCGTCGGGTGGGTGTAAGTCACTGATTATCCCTATATACAAGAGAGGAGACAAGTTTTCCTGTGATAAACACAGAGGGATTAGCTTGACTAATACAGTATCTAAAGTTCTAGGCTCAATAATAATGCGTAGACGAAGAGGTGCTCGGGAGAGACAAACACGAGAGAACCAGGCAGGCTTTACACCAAGAAGAGGGTATGTTGATCATATCTTCAAGAGATTCTTGAACATAGGCATACTTACCGGCGTCCAACAATTGTCGTGTTTAGTTACAGGATTTCATCATGAGCTGACATTGGTTAGAGATCATTGGAAAACGTGGGAGTATTGGACAGGTGTTTCGTCCCATTTTGGGACTCTTCAGGTTTTTTAATTGTTCAGTAACCAATGTCAGCTCCTGATGAAATCCTGTAACCAATCAATACAATCCATACAAACCAATATTTGAATACCGATGAGATGCTCACTGGCGACTGGCCCTATTCAGGTAGATAGTTACCTTGGGTTCTAGTGAGAAGTCATGACCATTAGGGTGCAGCAGGTTGGGCGTGAGGACAAATACTCGCCTAAGACATTGGCTAGTGGTCGCATTATGTCGTGAAGTGGCAGAAGTTGGCATTCATGGGCCATTGGATCGGTTCCCACTGGTTTAATGGTCTTCGAGCTCGCCTTGCAACCAGAAGGTCCCGGGTTCGAACCCTTGCGTGGTGGTGTGTGCGAACAGAGGAAGAGTCTCAAACCACGATGAAACAGCCCTCCAGTACTCCCAGGTTTTCCAATGGTTCTCAAGACGATATCAGCTCATAATGCAGTCCTGTAACCAATCAATCAAATCCCTACAAACCAGTACTTGAACTGTCGTGTTTGTTGACCTGGAAGATGCATTCGACTCCGTCGACTGAGAGGTACTATGACGATGTTAGGCTATAGAGGGAATGCCGAGAAAATACATTGCACTGATTAAGGCACTCTACTCGAACTCATGCAGCCAGGTGAGAGCTTACGATGAGTTGTCATCTGAAGTGGTGTGCGTTAGGGATGCCCACTATCCTCATTTCTATTAAATTTCATCATAGATGTACTAATGTACCTAACCTTAAGTGGCTTCAGCGACACAGGGATTGATTTGTTACCATCAGGGAATAATCTCGTTGACTTAGAACATACGGGTCACATAGTTCTTCCAGGTGAGGATGCTGATAAAATGCAGAGTCTTCTGAACACCTTAAGCAGCAATCTTCGAATGTTTGGCATGCAATTCTCTCCCGTCAATTGTAAGATTATGCTAAAATACTGGACTACATCGACTTCCAGCTTAAAGACAGAGAGTGAAGTGGTTGGTGGGGCGTGTTCACTACTTCACTTATATGGGAAGTTGCATCAGCCCCAGCAGGTTAACTGGTGACGAAATCTTATAACGAATACAGAAGACTGCTTTGGTATTTACCAACCTATATCATCTCTGGTGTAGATGTGGTAACTGGCTATCGATCAGTTCGCTCCGTCTTCCTTTATACCTGTGAGACATGGCCGCAGGAAGTGGAAGACATGCGAAAGCCATTTATCTGTGATCATAGGTGCCTGCATTGTATCTCCTGCGTTAGATGGTATAATAGGGTTAAGGCATCAGTCGAGTGCTAGGTATGAAGGGAAAATCAATCGACGAGATTGTTAAGCCACACTGATTGAGATAGTTAGAACATGTGTTACGCACGCCTAGCCATCGCCTTCCTCGACGGGCAATGTTAGCTGACATAAGATCAGGTTTGGCAAGAGCTGGTGGTGTTCAAACTAAAACATAGCATCGGTCAATTAAATCCACAATAGTTAGTTCAAGCCAGCCACATAAGGAGGTGTAGACTTCCTGATTGTGATGCTTGGGATGGTAAGAACCAATGACTGGAGACAATTGGTGATATTGTCTCAAAATCGTTCTCGATGATGGCGCAGATGCATTGAGTCTTTGAGATTTGTCACACCCAATAAAACTATTGTTCTTCCATATTACTAATAATTGTCGACTTCTATAAAAAAAGACTCACAATGATTGCATCTTTTGATCGCATGGCAGCGCCGTTAGACTATTTAGAGAATTCTTCGATGGTTATTTTAATTCTCCAATAAACAGATATGATGTTTGGAAATAATACAGCCCGTTTTTTTCTTTTCCTAGAATTTTTACTTGAGTATTTTGAAACTACTTGGTGATGCAGAAATTGAATTACATGAAGCATAAGTGATTTCATAAAAGTCATAAATTTATCACTCTGTACTTAATTCTTCGCCTTCTTTTACTCATTCAAATTTTACCGATTTGCACCATAATGAAATGTAAATTATAATAGAGGTTTTCAAACCGTTAAAAGTGAACTTGGTTTGGACATATATAATAATGAAATGTAGTTTCGAAAACAAACTGAATCACGATATCTAGTGCTACCGCCAGCCAGTGTCACTGGCGAGTATTTTTCCCAACACCCAACTTGGTTGACCCCTGGTCACGATTTTCCATTAGAACTCCAGGCTAATGCATCCCGTAGTCACTCAAGTTTTGGTACCGAACAAGGACAAAGCAGGTGTTCAATATTCCTTGCTTTTCAACAGTCCTGTCAATGCAGTTAGTTCGTGGTCAATCTAGAAATTAATCAAATCCCTGGCAAACCTGTGACCTGCCAATGCTATGCTTCACAGTGCACAACAGCTGCAGTCTCAGAGATGGTAAGACTAAGTTTATCACCGTTTTAAATCATCCCACCCATCTACAATGTGAGAGTTTATACTTTCAGCAACTTAGGTTGGTGACTTATGATACTGCTTCCATATATGATCAAGCTGTTTTACTATCTTAGTAGTTTAGAAAGATTAAAGCGCCACCATAGGAACTGCATGATCCACCTAACAGAAGATTACATTGTTATTTGAAGAAAAGGCACCCAGTCATATTACTGAAACATGAATACTAATACATTCGGTGCATAAAAGGGCATTGATTGCAACATCAGAATTAACTTTATCTGGCAGTTGTGAGGATTTAGTTTAGCAAGAGGGTGTTTAAATTCAGTCATACTGTAAAGATAGTAATAGTTCTAATGTCTCCTAATGCTACTGCTGACGATACTGAAACTACCTAACCGATTGCACGCTGACCCAGAACTGATAAGTTGCAGAACACACAATAGGGTTGGAAATATGTATTTGCAAAATAAGTGAGTTAAAAGGTGACCAACAATACAAAAATATAAAACATATACATTGATCTAGTAAAGAGGCTGGAATAGTAGGCGTTAACAATACGCCGGATTCTGCTTGGTTGGTTGACGCTCATAATGTGACAGCATTTTATTTGCTGTCATCTGACTAACAGAGAGATTGTGAACTAACCAACCACTTCAACGTGTCCATCACTTGATCCATTTAAAAGTTGCACTAACTTTATCAGACTGATGACTAATGGATTCTTAGCATCGATCAAAATTTGACTTTGCCCTTACATCGTTCAAAAACTCTAGTCAAGATCCTTTTTAATAATCGTCTTTAGAGAAGTACAACCAATTTTCAAGCACCAAACTCCTAGAGACCAACGAGAAGAATAAGAAATCTAGCAAACATTAAAGGTGATCAAAATCTAGATCACAACAATGTGGAGAAAAGACATTTTATATACATAATCACCATTGTTACCTGATGTCATGATTGTGTTAGTCTACCTTTGAGCAGCAGAGACACAACCACTGGAAGCGAAATGGTGCTGGTTATGCTAAAAGTTTGTTCTGGCTACAAACAGCTTGTCACCTACGTAGAGTTGTAGAAGATGGTCGTCGTTATCTGATGTGTGACTGCCTACTCCTTATTAGCCACTTAATCGACAGTCATCTAAACATAAACGTCAAACTCCTACATTCCATTCCCACCTAGCACTACAATATTTATCGTGGATAATTGGTTAGTGGTAGGTCTCATTTCACTTGCATCAAGACTGCAATCTATCGATGCGTATTCAGACTTAACGATATGACATCGCTTCTCTTTCCAGTCACCTTCCACTTAAATAAACTTGGCGGCCCGTTAGTACCCAGGTGACTATAAATGGGAAAGTGATCTAATCAAGTGATGAAGTCTCGACCCTAACACTTGATGTGACATCGATGCCACTGGCTGCCGGGTAATCGCACATTGTACGTACTTTACGAACTGATGTATCAAGTTGTTGAAAGCACTGCACTAAGATTGTGTATGCAATTCTCTTGTATGTAATCACAAACAAATATAGCACGTGAAGTTTAAGAAATGTAAATCATTTCAGCATAATTTATATTCTGTAAGTATGCAGACGTCCAGATGAATCGCACATACACTATGTTGAAACAATCTTTGAGGGTTTCTGAGGTTGAGCTAGATTGGCTTTATAACATGATAGGTGGCATAAGGAAAGTCCAGTCTTCGGATATTCGTAATGCATAACACAACCACAACCTATATCACACATGCGTATTTTTGGTGTTTCACTAGTATTATTAGTATACTTGTTAGGGTTCGCGTGCAAATATTCGTGTGTTGGAGATAAACAAATAAGAGTTTGCTCGGATAGAAGAGAGGATGGAATGTAACGTAGGTAGCTTGGATTACATGGATGCAAATGTGATCCAACGTCTTATGATGAAATGCAGTCCGAATTGTCTTCACTCACTGGTGCAATCTCTTCACCAATATTTATTTCTGCAGACTCTATACACACTTCGCTATCCAATTAAAGCAAAGCAAGTACATTATCGTCATGATCCTCCTTTGAAGGTGAGTCAATGGTTTAAAGTTTTCTACCTCAGCCTTGACCACGTCCGCTCACCACGTTGGAGCTAATCTATAGTTAGAAATATCGTTCAGTTGCAGGTACTCATTTTAAATGTCGCACGTTTAACCTTTGATAAGCACAATTTGATTACTGAAACAGATGAAAACCATAAAAGTAGTTTAACGGGTAGTAATTAATTCCTTATTTACTTTCTATATCCGCCATGTATCATACTACATCGTTACCTTGACTTCAACTACTAAGATATGATTAGCCAAAGAAAATGAAACACGGTATCTGTATGAAGGTTGAGCTGTAATGTTATCTCCATTGCTACTGTCGGCTAATTTACTCAACTGATGCTTAAGCAAAATGAGTTAGAATATATTGCAAGCTTTTGAGAAGTAAATATTGTAGTAATTAAAATGAAACTTTAATGGAAGGCTAACAACAGAGAAAGATCTCCAACTTACCTTTAACAAACTTTGAGCTAGTTGGTGGTTTTCCGTTTCTACCTTAAGTCTTGCTGACTCTTTAGGTTGGTCTATCCTCTTTTTAAGAGAATCAGTTTGTTCCAGTGTTAAATCAGCAGATAACTTCGGTTAATTCAAGCATTCCAAGCTACCTAGTTTAGAATGTGAATCAAATTGGTTTAAAGTTTTGGTAATAGCTAGACCAGTGTATTTTTGTGGCCGTAAGATTATTTGTCGCTCAGTCAGCGGCTTGGGATATTTAGATGAAGACATGCCCCCTTCTTCGGAATTACCTTTATTACTGAAGTTGAATTTCATATTTTCAATAGCAATAAACTCATCTTCATCAGTTTCTGTTGTGATTGTTCGTCTTTTACGTGCACTTAGTCCTGGTGAATGATCATTTGGAGAAGGGCTTTTCTGAACAACTTGTAGGTGGAAGTAGGGCAAGAGCGCTGCGAAGCTATCGCTCTGGAAGAAACCATGAAGATATGTAGGACTTAGAAAGGAGGCAGACTCCATATTGAAGTCAGTTCTGAAGACACTTTTTAGAAATGCAATGAAAGCTTTGCAATTAAACCAGACAGTTCATACAATAAAACTACAGCAAACAAACCTACCGTTATAAAATATCAAATCGAAAATAGATCAAAAATTATTTCATTGTAGTGTCTGAATGAGAGAGTCAGATAGCACTAGATTTAGTTGTTACGTAGTAGGGGCAACAAGACAATTCGATGGCCAAAATCAATGAAAAGAACTATCAAAGGGAATTGTGCAGTATGTAATGGGACAACGCTATCCCTTACTGCAGTAATTATATCTTAAGGAGTGCTTCCGTTAGAAGTGTCAATCGGTAGCGTGATGTACTTCACTGATAAGAATTTGTAAGCATCATATATGAAGCTCGTAAAAGAGCCCCACTGTTCAACTCAAGTCATTGTATTGTACGGGTTATACTCAAAATTTATGGAAAGTTACTCAAGAGAACCTTCTGACACCTGTCCAAGAAAATTGTACATAGATGTTACTCTAAGGAGAATGTTCAGAATCTTAGGAGCATACTCAAGGATACAAGGTGAGACTTGTGTAATGAAGACTCTTTTGATGACACTATCTCTAATATTACATTTGACACCTGGTGTCCCAGAGGAAAACTCTTCATCAGATTTGACCGTTTCTCCTCCCCTCAACTTAAAAAGCTACGCAGGGTAAAGAAAATTTATATAAAATGAAGCATAACACTGATGTGAAAAGAATTAACATCCTAATAGAGTCTGAAATGCACAGGTTGAGTTCAATTTATAATCAGTTTATATCCTGTAGAAATGCCTGATATATGGAAACTTTTCAAAGAAATTACTGGCAAGCATATGAATAGTATTCCTTATTCATTTGGTGTGTGTAATAAACAAGTCTTTCATAAATTTTCCCACAAATGCCAAGCTTTCCAGTGTCACAAGTGTTAATGGAACCCGTTTCTCTGGTTTCAATACAGATGATGTTCTAAAATGTCTCCGGTCTGTGAACATTTCCTGTAGCCTAAGTCCAGATCGTTTGCCCAGTCTTATTCTTATAAAATGTGCAGATATCCTTTGTTTTCCTCTCATTGATATATTTAATGAATCTTTTTCCAGAAATGCCAAGCCAGCCGTTTGAAAGGATATTAAAATTGTACCTATACCTAAGTCATCTACTGGAACCTTTTTTTAATTTAGACCTACTGCTGTTACCTCTCCTTTTCTAAAAACTATGGAAAAATTAATCTTACTTAATCTTCAACCTTCACTTAAAGCCTTTAACGATCCCAAACAATTCGCCTATAAACACAGTAGAAGTACTTTAGTTGCAGCCGCAGTCTTACGTCATAATATTGTCTCCAGTTTAGACAAGGCGGCTAAGTTTGTTCTCCGCACCTTCATAGATTACACATCTGCTTACGACTTAGTACCTGGGGATATTTTGTTAAACAAGCTTACTGAAACTCAAACTGACTGTTGGGTTGTCAAATGGCTGCATACTTATTTCGCAGAAAGAAAGCAGTACACTGTATGTCAGGGGAAGTCGTTCACTTCATCACTTACTGAGGCTGATATCCCTCAAGGCTCTGTCATTTCTCCTTTTCTGTTTCCTTTCTTCTTACATTACTTTCCTCACTCTGATAAAATAAACCTTGTTAAGTATGCGGATGATCTAATAATTTCAATCTCTGTTAACTCCCAGCTAGACTGCACTAGGATGAACAGCTTTCTGTTAGGATTCAGCAAATAGTCTTTGTCTAATGGCCTTAAACTAAATTCTTCCAAATGTCAGACTTAATATCAGTTTCCGATGTAAAAGAAGGTTAAATGAAGCTGTTAATTCCTATGACCGTTGCAAAGTTGATGACACTGATATAGTCTGAAGTTAAGTATCTTGGATTTATTCTTTCTTCTGACCTATCCTGGTCTTCCCATATCTTAGCGCTTTCTAAAAGAATATCTCATCTGACTTTTAACATTAGGAAGTTAAGGTACTCAGGTATAACTCAACACCTCCTTTTACAGTTTGTCAACTTTCGCATATTACCTAATCTTTACCCTTATTTTTCCTGGGTTGCTTAAAAAAGATTATGTCATAGTTCATAGGACTCTGAAGACTGTAAATAGGACGATTTTTATTCAGTTGAGCCACATCTTTGACATCGTCACTGGTAGGCAATTGATTTCATGCAACGAATTTGTTAAAGAGATTTTGTCAGACTGTGAGCATCCACTTTACCCTCAACTCCAACGTTGTGTTCCCTCAGGTAAAACAAGAGGTTTTTTCCGAATCCGTCTATGTATAAAAATTTCACTATACCATATTTGGCATGTATTTTATGTGATGAAAATAGTGTCAGGCATGAACCAAGTAACCTTCTTTGTATGAGTAAATAAACCTTTTCCTCCATGTTTATTCCACCAAGCTTTATTGTTATTGTTCTTCTTATATTTATAATCTCAATCTTTTGTTTTTGTTTGTGCGTCGGTAGCACAGTGGTTAGGTCTCTCGCCGACCATGCACATAATCCGAGGTTCGATTCCCTGCCGACGCACACCTGATATCTATGGTCGGCCTGCAAAATTTGGGCTACCGATATCCATTCTGAAAATTCCATACTTGTACCGAAAATACAGTGTGGAATCAACCTGTAACCAAAAATATTAAAAAAATATAAAATATTTTCTCATAAGTGCGAACATCATTTAAGCTGTGTTATAACTGTTAATTTTGTATTTCCCCTCACTATATTATATCAACAGAATTTTAGATTTAATAATCTAAATAATGCTTAAATTTCCATACTGAATCGACAATACTGTTTGAAACAAACTCATTGTTATCATTATTACTGTATTTATTATTCTCATTTTGTTCTTCGAATATTTTGAACTTATACCATAAATGTGGACTAATTCCTCTGGTTATTTTAATTTAATTTATATTTTGAGTAAATCAGATGCAATAGTGTGAAAAATGCTGCGAATTCCATTCTGTATTATAAGTACTGTTTTTGAAATAGAATAGATTATTATTCAATATCTTTGGTGAAAATCACTTGAAGAGTCTAGCTATTGAAGTGGGAAACCCCAGCTAAAAGGCCATGGGCATTTTGAAAAAAATCTGACTTAATGTAAATTTATATTTTGTCAGCTATTAGACTAATCTGTTCGAGAAGCAGTTCCCACAGTCTTCACTGTTGTTCTATGCGTTACAAATATTAAACGCTTGTGGCTTCAAACTATCATGTCCTATTAATGTGCTTGGTTTAGCACAGCTCCCATTGAGTTGATATATCTGCTGCATCGACTACTTGATTTAAAATAATTATCACAGGATTCGATATCCTTACTGTACATACGAAGTGTCAGCAGTTCTGACTGGAACCTCAAACTACACACGTATGTTGTACTTGTGGGAGGCACACACGACCTCGGTGTGGTCATTTATTTGACCTTACCTGACCAGGACAGTGAGACCACACATCTTGCACTTATGGGATCCAATAGCCAGTTGTAATAATCTTGCGGGTATATATATATATATGACAATAAGCTGCTGAGCAGTAAACATATTGCTTGGCAGGATTACTATTAATAGTCGCACGCCTAGTATTCCTTTAAATGCTAGTGCTAAAACTGAAAACTATCGAAAAACACTGAGGTTTTTAATAATTTCTACCCACACATCTTCTGTATATTATCTCAGAAAGCTTCAAAGTAGCTATTTACACATATATATATATATATATATATCTGCCGGTGTTCAGTAAAAACACAATTTTTTAGTTTCTAAGTTAATTTAGATGGGGAAAAACGGATAACAACGTGCATCTTTAAAGTTAATTAAAAGTTAGCTAGATGTACCACTTAGATTAAAGGAATTCGTAGCGTGAAAATGGGATAATTGAAAGAAGTCAGTACGTACAATATACTTTTTAATTAAAAATTTAGAGACATTGATATTTCGGTTATGGGAACTTAATAATTTCGAAAATAAAACTGATAATAGTGACTGATAATGTACCGCGTGTTTATGAAACATAAATGAGTGAAATTTATTATACATATGCATAGAAATAACGATGCATCATATATGTGAACTTTTGCTGGTGCTTGCGCTATCTCCGTGATAAGTAGAAATATGGGTGATAACCTTGTAAGATTTGATGTGGCTTTATTAGTTTGTGGTGTAAAGCCTAGAGGAGTATACAGTATGTGCGATAATTGGTATGTCACCTGAAATTTGATTCAAAAAAAATGATACCTTAAGACAAAATAGTGAAGCATTTTGGACAGTAGTTTGTGTGCAGAAATACTAAAAATTACAGAATCTATTACAGAATTACAGAATTTATATAACACAAACTTATATTAAGAATATTTCAGAGTTACATGATTGTACACAACCAGTCAAAAACTTTTGCATCAACACGTTAAAGAGGCGTTCATTTATGAAAGTTCCTTTTGATGTCTCGAGAACTACGTATCAATACATATTAAAAGCTTTGCACAAAACCACCCTGATGTAGCAGTTGTATGAATACGCTCTAACGTTTATCAGACCACTTAAACGAATTCAAATAAATCCATCAGCATTTTTTTTCAAGTTAGATGTCATGTATTTTTACATTCCCTAAAACAGGATGTTTATGAAAATCAGACATTTTAACCAGCATCAGCCTGATTAATTGTAACTGACAAACAGCCTAGTAACCTGTGTACACAACCATCTGGTGCTTGTTTGCTAGACCTGTGTTTACAGGTGTTTACTCCTTGAACCCCACCTCACCCCCAAAGTTATCGAAACCGCCGAACACATGTAAATACGTTCAGATTGGGAATTCAATATATTAAAAGTTTCTTGGTTTTTCAGAATTATAATACGTGTTCACTGTTATAGATGTGACAACAAATGATTGTCCACTGCTAGAAAATTTAATCTGTTGGATTCTGTTTCAACCTTGAGTAGTTTACTGGACGGTAATAATCCGAGGCAAGACAGAAGTTTGGGTGTGGGGCTAGCACCTTGTCTCTCATCATAAACAACCCCACCTTAAAGTACTGGAAAAATAAACCTGTTTCCTGGTGGGGTCAGGACTACTTTTCACTCTGAGGATGGATGATGCCAGTCGGTGATAGCCTTCCAGAAGACAGTCCACCGCAGTCTCCTTCTCATGAAAGCAAAAGTAGGCATCGGGAAATGGAGTATCTGCATAAGGTTCGACGATGGTGAGGCTGCTTAGACTGTAGGACAAGTGAGAACCAAAGGCATAGAAGTGCCGCGAGATCAGAAGGAATGGAAGAAGACCATCCAAATTATTAACTGGAGAATCGACAATTTATTCTAGTTGCTCAGACAGTTACTGCGATTACACAGGTTTTGGGAATATCATAATGTCGAACAAAGTAAGAACAAATATAGTAGGATAATATGAGCCCGCTGTTTTATTTCACGGATTCTAATAAGATCGAGCTTATATGAAGTTGCATTTGTTGTACCTGCACATCTGATATCAATGGTCAGTCTGCAAAATTTGGGTTACCGATATCACATGCAGAGAATTCCATACTTATACCAAAAGTACTGTGTGGAATCAAGCTATAATTTTAAAAAATGGTGAGAATTGTATCATGACTTTGCCAGTGGCATTAAAGGCCCTCATTCATTGGGAATCAATCTCCTTCAGGATGATGAAAGTAAGATTCACCTCAAAAAGAAGTATGTAATTAGATACAACGCAGACCAAGATAAGAAGCAGGACTACTACAGAAAACTTCAGCCAGTTATGGATAGGACTGTAGTCAGGTGATGATACTGAAACTATAACGGATGATATAAATAACATACTGGTATTTAAGAAAAAGAATACATCATGGGTCGAAAGGCTCTCTGGCAAACGAATAAGAATGGAGAACTCTTCAAAGAGGGTGGTCTGTCCGAAGATTCGGTGACTGGAAGCAGTGTGTAGAAGAACAAGGATATCCGCAAGGCGACAATGGGTTTCTCCATGTACACACAGCCAAACATCCGTGGCAATGCACTATGCTTCTGTCCACCCCAAGCAAAATATTAAGCCACAACAGCATGGAAGGATTGAAAGATGCTATGGATGGAAGTCTTTACCTGGGACGGCTTGAATTCTGGGAAAAATTTTTTTGAGAACCAAACTGTGAAGCTAAGTGCCAACATCGAACTGAGGATCGATAGTAGTCAACTCAACTCAAATTCATCGACTTTGAAAAGGCCTTAATTTGGAAAGCCCTTTAACACTATGGAGTGTATTGTCACAAATCTTTATAAACCTCATTCAACAGCCCCATACCAAGTGATTCACAACAGAGACCTAGGTAAAACCTTTTAGGTGGAAACAAAACTGACTGTGGTGGACTCGACCATATGACAGATCGTGGGGAGTGACAAGACGGAAGTAGAGTTGATCAATAGGAACACTCCAGCAGAAGTTATCAGAAATACCCTCTCCTCCACAACTCACGAGTTATCCAAATATTTAGCCATTGTTACAGTTCCAATTAGAAACCCTTCAAAATATGGACGTAATACTTTCCACGAAGTCAAGCATAAGTTGAGTGATTTAAGGTTAAAAGGTGAAGAATAAACGCTTAGTTTCGGTATCATCAATTTGCATATACAAATACTAACCGTCATAAGCCCATAATCGTTTCGCTAATATTCTGTCTCTGGAAAGAAAGGTTGAATTAAGTATATGTGGAAATTGCACAGATCTCTGTGATCTGACAGCTGCTAACATACACCTGACTCCGCATAGACATACTAAGATCTTCCATGAGTGTAAATATATCATAAAAGATTGACCTCATCTGAGCCTGCTAATATATTCCTCTCAACCGAGTTGTTACCAAAAATGTTATTAACTGGCGTGGACATGAATCCATGCCATTTCTTGCAGAAGCC